TCCTCTAGGGGCGCTGTGGGTCAGAATGGACTCCAAGGCAGTGGGTGTGGTTTGGGCTTTGGGTCTGTGAAGATTGACAGCCTTGGAGACCCTGTGGGCAGTTCCACTCTGTCCTCTAGGGGCACTGTGGGTCAGAATGGACTCCAGGCAGTGGGTGTGCTTTGGGCTTTGCTTCTGTAAACACTGACAGCCTTGGAGACCCTGTGGTGCAGTTCCACTCTGTTCCTCTCTATGGTCACTATAACACTATGGCAATGAGAACTGGGTTTTCTCCTGTGCTTGCAGGGTGGAGGGCTGAGCAAAGGAGTGAGAGGGAGACTCCCGGCAGGAGCAGTGCAGGGCTGCCAGGTGAGCGTGCGGAGCAGGTGAGCGTGTGGGGGCTGCCAGGTGATGGGGGGGAGCTGCTGTGACCTCCAGGTGAGGGGGAATTCAGGCGCCCCTGGCTCATCCAGGTGAGCCTGTGTGGGGCTGCTGGGTGAGCATGGCTGGTGGCCTGGACCCCTGGGATTTCCTTTTGTGGAAACAGCACATGTTCCCAGTGGACGTTTGGCTGGATCTCAGAGGTAGGGTCCCGTTGGGTGCCCTCAGCAGGGACTGGCCAGCGCCACCTCGCACACAGCGCCTGGGGGGCGGGGGTTACACGGCATCGCTTCTCTAGCCATGGTCTTTGTGACTCCCAGCAGATTACCGGGTGGAAAAAAAAAACAAAAAACCAAACTCGCTGCTGTTGAGTCATTTCCAATTCGTAGGGACTCCTCCTTGGGCTTCCGAGAAAATCACGTGCAGACCTCTGACGTGCGGACTGGTTACTTTTGTAACCATGCCAGGCTTCACGTGAGCCTTCCCAGAGGCAGAGGGGGGCTCTCACTGCCGTCGAGAGGGAAGAGCTGGAGGTGGGGTGGAGCTCTCCTTGGACCCGCGACCCCTGGGCTGCACCTCCTGGGCTGAGAGGCGCCCGGCAGAGACGCCTGGCTGAGAGACGGTGGCAGTGCAACCAAGAGGCGCGACACACGGTGGAGGCCTTGCTGGCCCACAGAGCCAGAAAGCTGGGTGCCCTCGGGCAGGAGGCTTGCTGGTGGAGTGGGGTGCATGTAGGGATACCTATCGGCAGAGCTCAAAGAGCTCTTTAACACTTGCCGGAGCAGGGCAGAGGCCAGGCCAAGAGGCCAAGG